CACAACAACACATATATGAACACGTCAAAATAAACGATGCACAAAATTACATGACAGTATAAACAAAAATAGAAATACACAACAATATTAACAATACACAAAAATACATGACAATATAAACAATTCAAACAACATAAAGTATTAAACTTAAAAATTGTAGCTTGTTTTTTGCTTTCTTTTAAAAACTTATTAAAGTTTTTACTTTTAAAAATCTCAAGAAAATTTTTTCTTTTAACTTTTTAGTTGCTCTGTTTTTTTATTTTTTATTCTTTAAAAATTTTCATTGTTTTCACTTTATTAGTTTTTTTGTAATTTTTTTGTATATATATATATATAAATATATATATATATATATATATATATATATATATATATATATATATATATATATATATATATATATATATATATATATATATATATATGTCATATATATATATCATATATATATATATATATATATATATATATATATATATATATATATATATATATATATATATATATATATATATATATATAAATATATATATATATATATATATATATATATATATATATATATATATATATATATATATATATATATATATATATATATATATATATATATATATATATATATGACATGGCAAATGAAAGAAATATTTTTTTAATGACAAAAAGCTAAAAAATAAAACAAAGAAAAAAAGAAATAAAAAAAAAATTTCTTCTATTTGCGATGTCATATATATATATATATATATATATATATATATATATATATATATATATATATATATATATATATATATATATATATATATGACATATATGACATATACAAACAAAATTGTAAATAAAACTTGACTTATAAGTCAAGTTTTATTTACAATTTTATTTAGATATTTTTGATAGTATTGAATTTTTTAAAGTTCATACTATTTAGTGTTACGTTTTTATAGTATATAAAAAAAACACTAAACAATATGAATTATATTTACTAATAAGTTATTAGTAAATTATGTTTTATTTATTTACAATGCTGTAAAATTCTTTTCTTAAGAATTTAATTAAATAATATGAATTATACTATAATTCATATTGTTTGGAAACACTAAACAATGTGAATTATAGTATAATTCATATTGTTCAGTGTTTCTTTTATATACTATAAAAACGTGACACTAAATAGTATGAATTTTAAAAAATTTAATACATAAGAAAATATTTTTATACCATATAAACCCTATATTATATAGGAAACTAATTTTCAGAAGTACCTATCTTTAATAAATATCTTTATCTATTTATAACAGCATCCTTAAAAAAAATCAGCACCTAAATTACAAAAAAATTTTTGTGAATGCACTTCTTTAAAAACACACAGCACTTTAGTTCCAGTAAAACAAATAAAAATATATTAAAATCTCTAACTTAAAATTAAAAACGTGTATAAATATCTTCGTTAAAAAGAACTATGACGTACTGTAAATTAGAGGCTATACTAAAATATACGGTTAAAGTCCGTAATTTAAAGTAGCGGAACTTCTCCGTATCATAAATACAGTCAAAATCCCATAAAAAGATGTGATTATTTAAAAAGTCTTAAAAGTCTTAAAAGTATAGGTAAAAGAGTCTTTTACCTATACTTTTAAGAAAAATTTGTTTTCAATAAAATACGGTCTTTTAAAATGACCGTATTTTATTGAAAACAAATTTTTTCCGTAACAAAACAACGGAAAAAGACTGATAAATACTACGGAGTTTTTTTACTGTGTACCAAGCTATAGTTTCGTAAATGTCGAAAAAACGTTTATAAATGTATAACACATTGTCTAAACACTAGACATAAGTAAATTAAAAACAGATTACCAGCTGTGTTACAGTAGAGTATATGAAAATCACGAGTGTAAGGTAAAAAAAGGTAAAAAATGTTGGTACCATTACAACCAATTAGAGTTAAGTAGTGGATAAATAATAGTTCCCCTCGTCAGGAACGCACTGCGATCACCAATAACGTTTCGGGGAACCCAAGATCAGTACTAAAGCGATTCGTAAAGGGCGTGTCCTTGTACAGATATTACCGCCTGCACTCTACGTCATGCTAGTCAATATTGGGCATTTACACTTCTGCGTGCGATTTTTAATTTTTCTTTATTTTTACAATTAGAAGCTGGGACTTAAACCAATATATTGGTAATAATGTTGTCATTGTCAACCTTAAGAAAAACAAAATGCAGACCCAAATAAAAAAATATTAAAATTTGTATAGAAAGGTTTGTAGTTACCTAAACTAATACTTTAGATGTTAGTGTGGGCGATCCAACTGTGGAAAATCCAACTGTTACACAGCTAATAGTATCCTTAGAATATATTGATACGCTTAACATCCGAGGACCGTTCCTCAGAATTAGATAAGAATCGAAAAAGCAAGAACCACCAATGAAGTGACTAATGAAATAATTACCAACAAAAGGTGGTGATTTGGGTGGTCTTAGGTCATATGGTGTATTTTTAAAAAGTTTGTATGACAGCTTTTATACCATCCTTATGGGATATCTTAGTGTACAAGAAGATAATGTCGGTGGCGATAAAGATGTAATTGTGAAACGGTAATAGTTGATTTTGGAGCATGTGGAGAAACTTAGTGGAATCTCTGACATATGAAGGAAGAGTTTTGACTAATGTTAGTATAAAATATGAAAAAATAGTAATATTAATACAGCTATATCGCATGCATCCGTCGCCACCCTCACAACATCTCTAAAAGGTTTGGAGCTATACTTAATTAGAAATAGGGTTTTAATTTTTGGGTCATTGTAGTAATGTTATTGCAATTGGGCATTTCCAAAAAATCACGCATATGTTTTGTCTATTATTTTCATTAAAAAAAACTGGCAATCTTTACTCTCATTTAATTCTAATCTATATGAAAATTTTGTAAACAAAGAATGGTATTCATTAGTAATGTAATCAGTATGAATATTTTGTAAACAAAGAATGATATTCATTAGTAATGTAATCAATATGAATATTTTGTAAACAAAGAATGGTATTCATTAGTAATGTTATCAAATTATTAATAAAAAAATAAAAACATTTTTATTATAATTGTTTATTATGAAAATCAAAATAGCAGTATCTCATCACAATCTCATCACTTCCGCGGTGCTCTGTGATGAGATTGTTAGGACTTGTCGGAGCACGTAAAATAAAACAAAAAAATATTAAAAAAAATAATTATTATAAAATTCAGGAAAAAAAAGTAAAGATGTCTAAAGTTTATTTTGGGCCGATATAGTTACATTATTTATTTATTTACATATATAATTTATATAATACATATATTTTCAGATATATTTACATTATTTATTAAGTTGATATAGTTAACTACTTTTTACGAAAACAGATTACAACAAAGACACCCGATTACAACAGCTACAACGGATTACAAAATTGGACACCTATGCAAAAAAAGGAAAAGAAGTTTGTTGTGTTTACTTATGAAGGTGAACTTTCCACTAGAAAAAATTACAATTGTCAAGGAAAATAGTGTTTATGTAAGGATAAACAAATAAATGTGGAAGTGATTTGTTTCAAGAAGATATTTTTTATGAATGAGATAATACACTTTTAAGTTTCATAACATGAAACTTTAAAAAGTTAGACTTTTATGCCATAAAGGTGTATTTTGTTCTATTCTTACCGTCTTTTTATTTTTTCAAATTAAAATTGAATTAAAAGCGACAAAATATTAAAAGCATTTTCAAAGCTTTCGTCAAAACGTTTGTTTTATTATTGCGTTTCAGCTTAAAAAAGTCATCATTTAAATTTAGATAAGATTACTTTAATTCAAAAAATTTCTGATTAAAATTAAATTTAGCGCAAAAGACTCTAAAGATATTGTCTCTGAACTAGCCACTAAGGTTCGATTAAAACTATTACCAGAAATAAGTAGACATTGAATAATTAATAAATCCTAAAGGATAATTAAATAAAAAATTTTCATATATATTTTTAGCAAAGTCAGTCTGGACATACGCAACAAAACCGAAAAAATTCAATGGCAAAAAAGTTGGAAGGACGTTGTCAGCATTGTAACAAAATGATAAAATGCTTAGGAAATAAAACTTAAAAAATCACCTAAAAAATCACGACATTTGTTTAAATAAGGTAACAGAATGAACCATGATAACAGATGAGAGAGCAAGTGAGAAGGCACGAAAAACTATTGGCAACTTCTTCGCTCAAAAGACTCTTAAAGTTTTTATCTCTAATTTGGCTACGAATGGCATTTCGATTTGAGCCATTACCAGAATAAATACATGCAAAAAATCGCATGAGCACATTGTTAATAATGCTTGAGCCATTCAAATGAAAGAGGCGGCAACTCAGAAACCTTATGAGAATTTAGGCAGATTTAAATTTAGTGAATAATGATGCCTTAAAAGATTTACTGGAGGCAAAGAAACCTGTTAAATTACCCAAGTAGCAAACAATATTGGCGTAATATTGGCACGATATTGGGTATCTTGGCTAATCTTGGCCAAGATATCCGATATTGCGCCAAAAATGTCAAGCAATATTACGCCAATATTGTCAAACAATATTGCGCCAATATTATCCATTATCGTTTTACTGATATTGTTGGCAAAAAATTGTTTGCCAATATTGAATTTTACATATTGGTACGCATGCGTAACATTAAGGAATATTCATAATGTCCTTTAGTTTTGTTAAATGTGTTTAAACGTAAATATCAGCATCTTTTTACATAAACAGGCGTCCTTATGTTATTAATTTTTTTACAAAAACAAATAAGAGTTCAAAATAAAAATTTTAATTTATGAAAAGAGAAGAAGTAGGAAAAGTATTTTTAATTCAACATTTACAGAGTGAATCAGGAGAATAACTTATTCTCCTGATTCAAAATAAATAAATTCTGTTTCAAAATAAATTACCAACACTTATTCAATAAGTGTTGGTAATTTATTTTGAAACAGATAGTATCACGAGAAGAAGTGATAAGAGTATTAAAATTCTTTTATTCGACATTACGGATTGAATTACGAAAAGAAGCGGTTGTAATTAATTTAAAACATATTGCATCACGAGAAGAATAGGAAAAATATTGCTATACTTAAGTATCAAGATTAAAATAGTAAGTTTGCTCTTAAATGAAAACACTTTGAGAAGATTTCATCTATAAAATATAAGTTATATATATATATATATATATATATATATATATATATATATATATATATATATATATATATATATATATATATATATCTTCACACACATATGCACACACACACATATGCACACATATATATACCTTCACACACACACACACACACACACACACACACACACACACACACACACACACACACACACACACACACACACACACACACACATAAATTTATCGCAAGATAATAATTTTGCAATAAAAAAGTTTTTTTTAAAATGTCTTTTATTTTATATAGCATTTTATTTTATGCAATAGTTTAATGCAATGTTATAAGTAATAAACAAATCAATAAGTTAAACTAGATCTGCTACATCACATTATGTTAAGAGTAGTTAAACAAGATTAAAGTAAAATTCACACAATAAGTAATGCTGAAAATAGTAAAAATTATATAAATGCGACTTTGAAAATGCAATAAACTTTAGTGAGGATTGATGTTGGACATTAGCCTTGGAGAATAAAACTGATATAGTAAATTTATATCAGATATATTGAAATCTTTCAACACATTTCACAACTCCTACTTCTAAAATTAAAAGCTTATAGAATAAATGACTAAGTCTACAATTGGATTTTAATGTTACCTAAGAGATCGGCATTAGAATATCATTGTTGGTGGTACATACTCAGAGTGGATAATAGTAAATAGTGGGGTCCCCCATTATTTACTTTTATGATATATAATAAAGATTTTTCTGATTTGGTTTTAGATGTTGTATCTGTATATACAGATGATACTAAGTTATAAAGTTTGCTTTTTGATAGCTCACCATACAATAACCTGCAATAAAGTATGGACATTATAGCAAACTGGGCAAAACTATGAAAACTAAGTTTTAATGTAAAAAAATGTAAAGTTATGCCCTTAGGACCAACAAGTACAAAATTCATTTATATACTTGTTGATAAATATAGTCTACCATCTGAAATAGTGTTCAACATCTGTCACGACATTAAAAAAACATCTAGATGCATCTTGGGTTGATCAAATGTACAATTGCATATAAACAATTAGACCAACACAATTATATACAATAGAACAAAAGGTTGATACTTTTTTATATACCTAATTATACTATTTGTAAAATTATAACCTTAGAAAATAATAGTAATAACAACATTAATAATAATAACAATATGTTATATCAAAACTCTTATAATTAAACACTGAATAATTAAAATTAATTAAACACTGAATAAATTTGATGTTTATTTTTTTAGTGTTGTATATTAAAAACACTTTGTTTCAGTGTTCCATAACTGAGAAAAAATATTCTATCCCTGGCTAACTCATTCAATTGAGCATTAGATCTTAATCTCATGCTAATTTGAATCTTGAATCTAATCTTATGAAATTTGAATCGTAATCTTGGGGTAAATATTTACTTAGACCCTCAAGTTGTTTATCTTCCTTAATGTCATATTTAAATAAGAAAATATTATCTTCCAAACCACGCAAACTTTAAAGTTCACTTTTTTTTACTAACCAATAATTAAACTCTACTTGCAATAAAAAGCGATTACATTAAACATTACGAAATGAAACTCAATAATTTTTAGAATAATATTTTCAGTTAAAAAAAAATAATAATCTCAAAAAAGAAAGTTAATCTGAAGTTTTTTTATATCATAAATTTATTTGTGATTATTTTTTAGCTGATGTACCGTTAAACCGAAGGTGGTATTAAAGTTTACATAGTTTGCTCTGGCTGAATTTTTCAATGAAAAAACAAAATGTGTGCCATGAATGTAATCTGTTTTTCATCGCGTATCAATGAAAGTTTGGTGTATTGGCCAAATCACTTGTAAGCATCTTGCCTTTAGGCTGCCATACGTAAAGTCACACTTTTAAAAGTAACTGAAAGCAGCTGAAAATAAGATTTTTTTGGTAATAGTCTTATTTACAATATTGTTTTTGTTTTATTTACAGTATTGTCTTTGTTTTTTATCTAAACAGCTATGTTTGACTCAAATATAGTAAATGTTGATTGTTTAGTATGGTTTCATCTCTTCTTTATACTTTTTTTTGACAGTTATGAGACTGCTTTAGAACGGAATTATCTTTGCCTCCAGCTTAAAAGGATGCATGTTACAAAAAAAGTGACACTGATGAGATTGTCTCTCAGTTTCTCAAAGATTGAAGAAATCTTAAGTGTTTTAGGGTTAAGTGATTCCATCAGAGCTTTGCTTGACTAGCTCATTCGATTTATTGAATTTATTTGCCGGTTATAGATGAAAAAAGATCTTTTAAACCTAGAATTATGGAACAAAGACACCTTATGAATCAATAGTATATATCAGTGAATTGATATTAGTTAATAGTTTTTGAAACAGTACCATGTACAATTAAAGTTTCTAATTTTTAAAATATATGATACATTTATATGAAACATACAAACAAATGATACAATATGATACGTGATTGACTATAATTATGTTGTATATCAGAATGTTTTATATAAATGCTTATTACATTTTATTGTGATTTTTATCTTTTATGCCCAGTTAGCAATGTATTTTGTGTAGCAATGACTACTAATCTCTATGACATTTGTAGTAAATAATACTAATATCTATGACATTTGTAGGGTGTATTCACCGCTACAGATGTCATAATCTATTTATAACCAATTGCTTTTACTCTTCCATAATGTCATATTTTAATAAGAATCACATTATGGAAAACTGTCTAATACATACACGTGAGGAACCATTATACTTTTAGTACAACCAATTATATTACATTTGTTTTCTTATTTTAGATGACCTTTCTTACTTCGGTTGGAGGAGATGAGAAACAACTTACAGCAGCAATCTTAATATAGCTAATGGCCAAAGAAGTATGTTTTTCATACCCAGTGTATGGAATGAAACAAAAACGTCCTGCAAGGTCGTTATAGGTAAAGCACAATATTTGAATTCTAAATCCCATTTCCTTTCAATAAATAAATATTTTAATAAAATTATTTTACAATATTTATACGTGAAAAGTTATATATTTCAAAATTATATTGTGATGATATTTAAAAAACATTTTGTAAAGTTGCGTTTAGTCATTTATCGTTGTATTCGTTCATTTCGAAATCACAACTGACTAAAGTATTAAAGAAAAAATTGGCAGCTTTTTGGCGACGGCCATTAATAGAGATTACGGAAGAAAAACAGAACCGTAACTGAGCAACGCCCAATATTGAGCAATGAAATAAGTATCGCCAATATAATGAAAGTCGATGCCCACTATCTCATAGTGAGAGTATAATACAGTACTTTATATATATATATATATATATATATATATATATATATATATATATATATATATATATATATATATATATATATATATATATATATATATATATATATATATATATATATATTTCGAATGTTTTTTTTCTTAAAGCGTGTTCTATGATTATAGTCATCTAGACTATCTGACTATAACCTGTTTAACTCAAAAGAATAATGCAGCCTAGTATTATAGTTTCACTTAAACAAGAAAACTGTTATAAATTTTAATTATTACAAATTTGTAGAAGGCAATATTTTTTATTATTTTTTAATAATAAAAATTTAATCGAAAATACTCAATATATTGCCTTAATTTAGTTATATATATCAGGATAATATTGTAAACTATATTAGGCCAATATCGGCCAGTATAATATCCCCATTATTGGCGCGATATTATTTACAATATTGGCGCAATATTATAAACTATATCGATCCAATGTTGCAGTGTGAATATTTTGCCAATATTGACTTAACAGTTTTGGTGCAATATTGTATCGCCAATATTGGCCAATATTGACTTTTCAATATTGGCAAAATGTTCACATTGCAACATTGGCCCGATGTAGTTTACAATATTGCACCAATATTGTAAACAATATCGCCCCAATATTGCGCCAATATTATTTGCTTCTAGGGTATAGAAAATTTTAACAGAGAAGATGTTGAGAAATACAACATCTTCTCTGAAATACAACATGTTGAGTGCTGACACGGTACTAGAACTTATGTTTGAGAAACTTACTTTAATTAGCTGTGAAAACATCAAAGAAATTATGAAATTTTTTTGAGGATTTGAATCGATGAAAGCTAGAATACAGTGACATGAATTTATCACACAATCTTTAGAACTCTGCAATAACGTCATCTAGAGACTTTTACAGACATGTTGACATTTTGATTTCAGATAGTTTAAGGCTGAATTATATCTACGTACAGAAAACCTACAAAAGCTTTATGATGACAATTAAACCCTCATATACGGATGTTGAAAGAATATTTTCTGAGTGTGCCAACTGAAGTTATCAGCATTTGTGTTTTTGAAATTATTAAAAGTAAATTTTTATGTTAATACAAAGTATTGAATAAAATTTATTTATAAAAAAAAAAACTATTTAAATTTAAAAAACATTAAAACAGCTGTTAACAGCTGTTTTTAAAAACTCTAAAGCAGTAAAACACGTCATTTTTATTTATATATGCTATATTTTTATTTATATATATATCATTTTTATTTATATATGCTATCGATCAATTTTGCCTTCGGTTCTAGGAAAAAATCCCCCTGGGAATTCCCCCGAAAAATATCCTCCGGAAAAATCTCCCTAAAAATAAAGACCAACGCAAAAAATAAAATTAAAAAAAAATTTTAATTTGAAATTGATAAAATGCCTGCTCAAACCAAAACCTTTAGTCAATGTAGCGGCACTGCTTGCATTTTCTACCTATTTGTCAGTCGATGTATGAATACTCCTTGTATGTTCTACCTACTTGTTATTCGATTTATGAAAAATGAAGGATTAAGGTTCTGTTTGTATAGTAATACGTATGTATAAAATATTTATATTATAAACAACTATTATATTGATATATCGTTTGTTTTATGCGCTGTAAAAAAAAAATCCAGGGAGATTTTTCCGGCATAATTTTTTCTCAGAAGGATTTTTTTCGGGGGATTTTATCGGATTTTATATATTCAATACTTTGAATTTCTTGTGGATCTGTTTTAATGATAATAACGAATGTGATTTGTTTAACGAAAGCTCACCAACTTTGAAATTATAAATTATGAATATGAAGTATCAGCTACCATGATTTACTCACCCGAGTTGACAAAACACATTAAACAATCAACCGTTCCAAATCACTTTTTTCAATTACGAGTCAAGGCTTTTTTTGTTAAAGAAATAGAGCTTCAACTTGTTGAAAAAAATTGACCTTTTTACTTGATGAAAATATTGGCTAGAATACAATACCAATAATGACCATGATAAAGACAAAATCGTTAGAAACGTTATTAGTATATATTAGTATTTAAGTTTACTCAATAACTGGGATGCTTTAACAGATATATTAGGATCAATAAAACATGATATCATCTGAAAAACTAGCTGTAGAGAATCTTAGCAGAAAAAACAAAACTGTTATATGTTTGGTACTATATTCAGGGGTGGCAAAAAAGAATGCCTCGAAATTACAAAAAAAAAAGAAAAATAGCTGATCTTACAAAACAAGTTACACTCAAGCAAACCTAGAAACAGCTGTAAATAAAATGAGAAACCGTGGATTTACCATAAAGAAAGCTGCTTAAACTTGTAACATTCCATATTAAACACAACATAAAAAAGTAAAACTTGGGAATCAAGTTCGAAAAAAGCATAGTGGACAAACCAGACTTGATAGTTCAACAGAAAGTTTATTAGTTTAAACAATGACCGACTGGAGAAAAAAAAACTGGTGATAAAATGTCTTCCAGGAAAAAATAAAGAACCTGGTGGTAAAGACTCCGTAATGGTTTTTAACGAATCCGTTTTAGATATTCTTAAGAACTAGGCTTAGACACAAATCCACCTGCTAAACAAATCTATCCATAATTTAAAAAATTTAAAACATGTTAAGGTCAATGTCAATCCAAATCAGCTAATCATTTTCAACCCATTTTAAAAATAAAATTATGATCATATAAAATAAAAAAATCAAGATATTTGCAGTATAGTGCTGATCAAGCCTAGAACTTTTCCTGGAAGCTGGACAGTATAATGTTCTGTTAAAAAGAAAAAAGGTAGCGATTAGGCAAACAGTTTTCTATGATGCAAAAATGTTTTTAAAGTAGTCATATTGATTGAAAATTATTTACAAAGCTGTAACATCGTGTTGCAAACTTGTAGATTACATGTTGTAAACTTGTGCAAACTAGTTTTTAATGTAACATGTTGAGCATGTTAATATAAAAATAAGTTTGCAACATTTTTGTCTTTTATTGTCAACTTTGATAGTTGAAGAAATCCCCTCGTGCATCATAGATCTAATGTGGTAGTAGACTAAAGATTAAACATTTTGCTCACAATTAAGAGGATGAGATTTAAATTTACCCTGCACTCTCTGAAATTACTGCGCTCAATCTGTTTCCCTGTTTCAGCGCCCTTGTTTAAAAATGTTTTTGTTTCTGAGTTAAGGATTGAGAGAAAATATTTTTAAAAAATAAGTAGCTCCCTTGACTGTAGTGGACGCTGGAGCAATGGGAAGGTAAATATAAAAAATTCAAAAAATGACTATAATAGAACTCATGTTTAAGAAACATTCTTTATGAATTGTGAAATGTGAAAAAGGTTTATTTGAGGATTAGAATTGATGAACGATGGACCAGAATCGTAAAATAATGTCATGAATTAATTACGCCGTCTTTAGAACTCTACAATAATGCCATCGAGAAACACAATACCGACTTTTTGGGGATTATTATGTTAAAATAATTTAAGCAACTGTCGGTAATCCTATAGGATTACCAATATTTGTGCACAAATGAGATTTTAAAAAAACTTAATGAATGGTTAATGGAAAATAAATCTCTAGCAGTGTTTTTTGAACAGGACAATTTCATATAATTCATATATCAGCTGATTTTACTCAACGAACAAAAAACTTACAACAGTTTTATGATACATTGTTAACAATTAAGCCCACATCAATAGATGTGTGATCCACATCAGAGTATTTTCTTAATTTCTGCCAATCTCTTTACAAAAATAAGATAACGGCTTACAGATAATTATTTATTTATAAATTTTTTTAAGTTATTTAAGTGATCCAAGAAGTCCTAATTGTCTTACCACAGAGAACTGTGAAAAAATCAGGAAATTTACGCCTCTTTTTTTACCGATGATACATATATAGGCAGAGCAGAGCTGACTTCGAACCTTCACGGTTTGAAGTCGGCTCTGGACCACAGACCTTCAGTTTTAAAGTCAGAACTCTAACCACGACACCACAGCTATTCCATAATTAGCACTTGTATTTTTGAAATACTCTGATAAAAAAATAAAGTTAATATTAGGATTTAAAGATGAGTAAAGTTGTTCTTATTTTAAAAATCTATTTTGAATTTTTAAAACAGTAAAACATTTATTTTTTACATTTTCTACCCTAGGTATTAAAAACATTGGTTTTTAATACCTAGGGTTTTAAAAACCAATGTTTTTAAAACCCTAGGTATTAGACGTGATATTTATTTAGCCTGAAAAATCCGAGTAAAAAACTCATAAAATCATTTGATTACTAAAAACCCAATCATTTTATTACTAAAAACAACACACTAGAGTATATATAATAAAGCATGCAATCGTTAAATTCGGAACGATGAATTTCGTTTTAAAATTTGTCACTAACACATTTTAAAATTATTTTTTTGCGTAATTACATTAAGTAATGATAGTATTAATCAAAAATATCAACAAAGCAGTCAAAATATTTTTTTTATTTAAAATGTCATTATTTAAAACATTTAAAAAAACAAAAAAAATAACTATCTACAAAATCCTTCTGCATCGTTATTTTCAATTGGTAAAGCATCTGAATCGAACAAAACTACTGTTTATATGGTCATAAAACGATACAAGAGCTCTCTATCTATCGAATGAGCAAAAGGATCGGGAAGAAAGGGTGGTTTTAAAGACAAGAAAGCAGCAATTATTATTCGACGATTATTCACGCAAAATCCCGGCTTTTCGAACAGAGAACGAGCCAAAAGGTATAAATTTTCAGAGTTTTTCGTCAGAAAAGTTAAGAAATTTTACAATTTCAAGTCTTATTGAGCCATGCTTGCAAGCTAGACTTTTGCCATTTTATCAAGAAGTTGATATCGACGATTAACGTAAATGTTCGCTAATTTAATCGATGTAATGAAAAAATTAAAATAAAAAACATTTTTATAATCTTCAAGTTCCTTAGATTAAAATAAATTTTGAGGTTTTTGC